GGCTGAGGGAAGAGAAGTTTGAGTTTGAAGGTAGCCTGGGATATATAAAAAGGCCTTATCCCCAAAATAAGTAAAGAAAAAAAGAATAAACAGCAGATAAAATGAGTTACTGAATAGGCTCTCAAAGAGCTTCTAATCTGTCTAGCAGATTAACATAGAGCAGATAGAAATGAACAGGGGAATGTAAAATGGCTTAGCAAAGGGCAGGGAAAGCTTCGCAGAAAGATAACCAAGGAAGCACTCTGACAGGACATTCTTGTGAAAAGTACCCTGGCTTAGAATAGAATAGTAACCTGTCCACAGGGTCACAGGAAGCTGCCCAGAGTCAAAGCACAAGACAGAGGAATGTGATAACAGACAAGACCAAGCTGAAATATTTGTTTTCAGCCTGCTGAAAAACTCAAAAGGGCTGTCCCAAGCACAGAAACTTCCCATCACAGGAATTCTGTATTTCATGTTCCAGGGACCTTTCTGATAAAGTGCTGAATCCTAATGCTCTGTTCTCAGCGTGTTTTTATATGGATAAAATAAACTATGTACAATTCTAAATATCTCTGTAGATAGTCCACACCTCAGCAGTACAACATAACATATAGTTGGTGGAGAATGACTTTTGATAGGGTTTGGAGTACACTGCCCCAAAACATGGCACCTTGGCACAAGAGAAAAAGCACCCACAGAAAAGCCACTTTCACCTTCCTCTTGCCTCAACCCTGAAGCAAACTGTGTAGTCTCAGAAAATCACCAAGTCTTCCCATCCTTACCTCACTAAAACAGATCATATGCTCTTCACTGGAGAGGTGGTCCTCCTACGCCCAAAGGAAAAAGACCACTATTACACTCGTTCAGATGCCATGGAATATTACATTTATCACTACTTTAATATTACTATAAATAATCTGCCTAGAGAAATTACATAGTGTGCCTGGCATGACAGTGCATACCTGCAGGATCAAGAGGCCTAGAGAAGGATGTAAACAGTCGAGCCTTGCTAAATTCTCTTTACTTTATTACTAGATCACCCCGCTATCTTCCCATTCACTGCCTACTTTTCCAGTGAACCTAACATAAAAAAGTAAGCTTACCTGTTTCTTTGGGCTATTTTCCTATAACGATTCCATGACATACAATACTTAGAAGTGTGTGCTTTTCTCTTTTTGTGTTAACAGCCTCACTCATGAACCTAGTGATGAGGGAGGTAAAGAAGCCTCTTTGCTCTCTTCCAAATAAAGTTATATTTCCAAAGAACGGTTCAGAAAGTGGAAAGGGGGTAACTTTACAGGGAAGAGACTGAAAAGCACTACACTTCTGCTAGGTGATCAAGGTTAACAACAGGGATCATTATGTCAGTTTAAAAGACCCTTGGTAAAGAATATAATGAAATGGATCTTGCCCCTTTGAGCTTAATACCAGAAAGGTATTAACCAAACTAAGCATGAGAGAAACACCAGACAATCAAGATTCAGGGAGATGCTATAAAATATCCATTATTCTTCAGAACTACCAGGATCATTTAAAAAGCAAATTTGAGGAAATTGTTAAAACCAAGTGAGCAGAAAAGAGATGTGATTATTAAATGTAGTTTTAAAGAGCGAGACATTGAGAAAAATTAAGTAATAACATTACTAAAGATACATGGAAGCATCTGCACAATTGTTGAGATAATCACAGATACTAATGGAGAATGCTAATGTGGAAAACTGGATGTAAAGTGTATAGAAACACTGTACTATCTCTGTCATAACTCTAGAAACTGAAAACTCTTCATTTAAAAGGTAGAACACATGGAAATGGGATCAGAAAAGTTACAATCAAATTATTGTTTGTTAAAGACAATTTTGTGACACAGTAATATAGGTTCTTTGTCAGTGCATTACATTTCTTAATTATATTTTGGACTTTTTTGACAGCGTTTACCGTGGCTCAGGCTAGCCTCCAGCACTACATAGTTGATGATGACCTTGAAACTCCCTACCCTCCTGCTTCTACCTCCCAAGTTCCAGGGTACAGGTACATATGTACCTCCAAGCCTGGCATATCTAATTATGGCAATTTCAAAACAGTGATAAATACAATATTTCAAAATAATCTCAAATTACCATAACAGGGTCCCCTTCCTACCTTTAGGGCTTAGTTCCAGATCCTAATTTGAATACCAAAATCTGCAAATGCTCAGGTCCTTATAAAACAGCACATATTAACACACACATTCCCATGTATACTGTAAATCATCTCTAAGTGGCTTATGTTAAATGTAGTAGGAATTGTATGTAAGTACTTATCAAACTATTATTTATGGAATAACGAAAGAGCGAGTGTGTGTACACTCAGAATGCAAGTTTGAATTACTTTCTATTTGCTATTGGCTGGATCCATGGATATAGAATCCAGACCCTGAAACTCAACCTTAAAGAAAGTATCTAACATTTCTACAGCAACAGCCAAATGCACTGCCAGCATTTCAGTAGTTTTGTGGTCTACAGTCCAAAATAAACAAACAGGGCTTTACTCTCTTTGCTCTTCCTACTATCAAGAGTTTTGTTCTTTACATTTTCTTAATGTCTGCCTTCTGAAAAAAATGAATAAACAAATTTCATTTAGAGTTTAGTAAAAACAACAACTGTTTTCTATAACATGTTCAAGGACTTGAGCTCTTCATGGCCATATAGTACCATTCTCTGAAGGCAAAAAGAACCTGAGTACTAACATGAAACGGATACTTGTCACAGAATACTGATAATCACTGTGTACACTTCTTGTTGCTAAACCGTTAGCCACAATACCATTCCACACATTTCTGAAAGTCATGTGCCCAAAACTGGATTCCAATGATACTGGGATTCCAAAGGAAGACTCACAAACACTTCTAAGAGTTTTTCCGGACTCAGGTCCAGAATTTTTGAGCAACACTCAATAACTGACCAATGTTTCTACTAAACAACCTGCTTACAGAACTTGTTAAAATGCAAATAATTCCTAAAATTCCAAAGGATTTATCATGAGTCGCACAGCTAACTCTCCAAAAGGGCAACCCTGAATGGTGCTCACTCTCATACACATCGACAGTAGAAGCTGGATTCCAGTTTTCAATTGTCAGAGCCCATAGTACCCTCCTAAGGTTTGTGTCTGCCATACATGCCTTTTGAATAAACTTGCAAACATGCAAAATAACTAGGACATATTTACTCTGTGGCAATTCCTTATTTTCTCCAACCAAGTATTATCATTCTGTTTTCCATAAGCTTCATGCCCAAACAAATGCATGTATCAGACAGACAAAGAAGACTTTGCAAAAACAGTCTTGAATAATTCATAATAATTCTTAAGAACTTATTTGATAATACATACTATTGTATGAAAGCTAAGTCCAAACTATGACTTTGCCCTAGAATATGCTAATTTCATCAGGAACTGTGATTTAACTCATCTTCATCTCAGGTCTCATCTGCTCTTTACCAGCTGTGTTATCTTTGATACGTTACTATAGGCCTCTGAGACCTCTCAGGTCTCACATCACTAGCAGTATTTACAACTGATAGCATGGTATTTTATCACATAAGAACAAAAAGAAAACAGTTGTAAAGCATTGAGGAAAGTGTCAAACACTGATCGGGAGTTCTTGCAACAACATAGTCTGCACTTTACTCTTATGTAGTAAATACTTTCCTAAATAATATTTATAGGTCTTTGATTAAAATATTTTTCATTGGTTTTAACTAACCTTTTAAATAACAGAAGATGTGTTCAAGAGAAGGATTTCATTTCTCTTTGCAAGAGGCCAAGATCATCTCCATTTAAGGACACAGGAGCAGCTACAGTCACACATTTCTGCTACCCACAGGAAAGATGAGGCTGAGTTTATGCTGCTACAAGCACTTTAAAAATTACAAATAGGTTCTCCAAAACTAAACAAATCTAAACTTCAGAATGTGCAAGTGTGCTGATTTACGTATATGCAATGTAAAAGCAATAAAGTGTATGAAGAGAAAGTAAGACAACGCTCAGCTCTGCCAAAGGACTCAGTCCTATCCAAAGATAGTACTGAACTAGGAGGGCGTCAATCTACCTTCTAAAAGGTTACTTACAGTTCAGACAAGAAAATGCTAGATTAGTTAAAAACCACTTTCAGAAATGCTCCAACACTTAAATTTCAACACTTGAGAACCCAGTCAATAATGCCTCATTATCATACAACTGACAGGAACCTACAGTCATTTCTTTCTAAAAAGCTACCCTTGGTACTATAACAGCTTATAAAAATCTATTATGTTTTTGTGGTGATATAATGTAGCTAAACAACAACAACAAAAAAAAGTAAGCACTTAAAGTTCTATTTTACTGTCTTTCTAGGGACAATACATACCTTTTGAAACATGTAATCATTCATAAAAACATTAAGTGCCTAACTGAAGAAAATACAATAAATTAAATACATTTGCCCTCCTCAGTATAAGAAAAATACTTTTACAAAATCCAAAACTGTTACTAACCTAGTTTCCTCATCCACATTCTCTCCCCTATACCTAGACAGATAAGAAGCACAAGTATAAAATAGGACAGGAAAAGGCATCAAACCTCGCCTAAGGATGTTCACTGCCCTGGAAGCTGCAGCCTAAAGCACAGCCATTCCATGACCACTACTGCTAAGTCCACACCACTGCTCTTGTGCTACTTGCATCCCATTGCAACGATTCAGTTCTTCTGCAGCACCAAGCAATACAGGATTATCTCTAAGTCAGAGGATGTAGACCCCATTAAGGAAAGCTATCTGCTGTAAAATTGTATCTTCAAGCTTACCTATTTTATTCTGTTAACTGCTACACACATTCTAAAATTAAAAACTAAAAGTGAAGCATAGTGTTAATGACCTTTCCAAAGCTAAAGTAAGATAAGGTCTAAGGTTAGGTTATGATAAGAACATAGCTAACCAATCATAACGTTAGAATTCCTATGTGACATCATAAGACCTCCCTAGAATACTTTTCCTCCTCCACCTACTGCAGCAGTTCCCATAAACCTGGGAACAGAAACCTCACAGCTAACCTCCCATAGACTTCACACACTTAATACTCGGCATTGTGATGATCACAGAAGCCAAGGTAAGACATGATATCACTGATTTTGGAAATTCTTACTTTCTGTAATCAAACTTAGTAAACTTTAAAAGAATTTTATCTTCCAAATTCCAATTCAAAATTAGATAATAAAAGAACCTGTTATGAATGACAAAATTCTTAAACCCAAAAAAATTAGGCAACTTTAAAAGAGTTATATTCTTCTTTAAATTTTGGTTATTAGTTATTTTGGTTTTTCAAATGTGAGCTTCTTACAATTGAAAATCCTCTCAACTATACTAGCGTACATGATGGTAGAGGTAAATTCATTTTCATGCTATAGAAATGGTTTCATTTGTTGTATGTTGCTCTGCTGAGACAATGCAGGACAGGGTCATTGACAGCCGTGGGACACCGTTTATTTATACCTCATAACTGTGGGACAAGCACACTGCTAGCACACTTACTCCGATGTTATCAGTATGGTTCTTAAGGTGACACAATCAGAGATTTTAAGAATAGATAATAGAACTCCTTTTTAAAATGCTCTTGGAAAATGCTACTTTCTAAAATGAGAGTCCAGTCAACTTCTAAACACTTCTAGAACTGCCACTTTCACAAAAAGAACAGCTTGCTTTAAGTTTGATACTGTACGAACAATTGTCACAATAAGATTTTTTAAAGTGACAAAAAAAAATTCAACACTTTAAAAAGGGGAGAAAATTTGATAAATGTATATTCATCTCACAATAGAATACACTCTTGTAAAGTTTTCATTCTCCAATATTTATAAATTTCCTGTTATAAATTTAGAAGTAACACAAGAAAAACCAAAATTCCCAGGAATGGAGATGCCACAAAAAAATTATCATTTGTTACAAATCTCAACTTACTAAATAAAATGTTTTCTCACCCTTAAATCTATTAGACCACATAGAAAATTATACCAATTTTTATTCCACTATTTATACTCATAACATACTTAAGTACCAAAATAAAACTTTATCAATTCCTGTAACAGTAACTATTGTTTATGACAAATGCAACTTTGGAGTCTCCTAGGCAGCACTCTTAACATGCAGAAACATTTCCAGTACGAGTCTCTAATGCTAGGAGCCTTAAACTGCCTTGCAATACTTCAGTACTCATAAAAAATACTTTTCCTTTGATAGTATACAAATGACACTTGGTGTTAAGTTTGGATTTGCACATTTCTGCATTTTTTACATTTTTATTTATCTATCATGTACGTGTGTGTGCATGTGTGAGAAAGAGATAGGGAAAGAGCAACCATGGCATGTGTATGGAGATCATCGGATCATTTCTCCTCTTCCACCCTATAGGTTCCAAAAATCAAACTTGTAGCATAAGGTTTGGCAGTAAATGCCTTTCTTGTCTTTACCCACTGCCCCTGCATTTTTACTTTAAAGAATATCAAATAGCATTCTCAAAGTTCAATGATGTGTATGAAAGTTTTTCAGTGGGAAGAGAAAATAGATAATGAGCTTTTTTCCAACAGAATTTTCGTACATCACACTTTGTTCCAAAAGTAGACAACTTCTAGAAAAAAAAACATTATCAAAGTATCTTTAGCATCATAAGAGGATGGTATAATTAATGACTATGATAAAAAATTTTCAGAGTATAAAGCTATAACACCAGATATGTTTGAATCATGCATTTCACAGCTTTACGGTGACACAGAGTATTTTGTTTATAAAGGCATATTCTTTAAAACCAAACACTAAAGAAGTCATATAAAAATCAAATGGAAGAAATACGAAAGAATACAAATTATGAAAGATAAACTTTTTAATATGAAGAAAGGAAATTTGCTTTTCCAAGGGGAGTTGCATCAACACCATTTCCTAAAACATATCAAAATTATTTTAATGGTATTTTGGTAGACATAAAGGAAAATCATTGCATTTGGATCATAGTATTAACAAATGTTTCTTAATCTCACCAATTTATTAAAACAATATCTGTATTAAAAATTCAAAGAGATTGAAATCTTAATGTATAGAATGCATTAAATAAATTATAAATTAAAGTGATTATGTAATTTAAATTATAAGTTAAAACATTGGAAATGATTAAAATATAGGTCACCCCTCTATAAAATGATAGTATAAACTTCATTATTCTAAATAAACATTTCCTAAGTGCACTTACACACAAATACTCTGATTATTTTTGTGTTTGGCCCTGTATCTCTTCATCACATTTAAAAAACATTCAAAAACGGTGAGCTGGTCAGGTTCACAGAGCTACATGTAAACAGAACTTGAGCAGGAAAAGCCATGTGCACATCCCATCCCTGATGAGCACGGTTAAAACAAATCATCATGCTAAGCAAGCAGGTACAGTGAAGAAAGTGAGGAATGCGAACGGTACTTTATAAGGACGAATGTAGAGGACACAAGCTTCTGTCACTTTCAAAGGTGCTCCATCAAGTGTGATGTCTTTACTACTCTGTATATTATTCTAGGTATCATTTTCAAAGCCAGGCATAAAAAATTACCAATGTCTTTAGTAATCAAACAATAAACTTCTAGTCAAAAAAGTTCAGAATAGTCACAGACATTAACATTCCGCAATCAAGTTAAAATCTTCAATTATTTAGCTTGCTCCATTGAAAAAAAAAATATGCCTCTAATCTATTTAGGCTTGTTACCTAAAACTCAGATTATTTTTTCCCATAACTTTGCACAAAAACTTCAAGGTTTTATTTCAGTCCCATATTCTATCCCTGTATTTCATCAATATCATTTCTCACTCACTCACTCTACCATTTAAAATCTACTTGAGGTCACTGCTTAAAGTTCCTGAGCAAAAGAATCTTGCTTTGTTATCTACATTAAGAAAATAATTTTTATCTAATGTTTGAATCCGCACATTGACCATACCAACAAAAATGAAACTTCAGATTTGGGAATCAAGAACATAACCCTTCTAAACTACAGCAGCATGAACTGATGAAACATAGTCTCTTCGGACTTTTCCAGAATGGTTTTCCAGAACAATTCTCAAGCATGCATTACCAAATAAACACAAAATAAAACCTGAACATCATTTTGAGTGAGGTAACCCAGACCCAGAAAGACAATTATCATATGCACTCACTCAGAAATGTTTTTAAACATAAAGCAAAGAAAACCCAGCCTACAAATCACAATCCCAGAGAACATAGACAACAATGAGGACCCTAAGAGAAACAAACATGGATCTAATCTACATGGGAAGTAGTAAAAGGCAGGTCTCCTGAGTAAATTGGGAGCATGGAGACCATGGGAGAGTCCTGGAGGGGAGGGGAGAGACAGGGAGAGGCAGAGAAAAATGTAGAGCTCAATAAAATCAATAAAAAGGAAAGGGAAGGGAAAGGAAGGGAATGGAAGGAAAGGAAGAAAAAAGAAAAGAAAAGAAAAGAAAAGAAAAGAAAAGAAAAGAAAAGAAAAGAAAAGAAGAAAAGGAAAGGAAAGGGAAGAAAAAAGAAAAAGAAAAGAAAAGAAAAGAAAAGAAAAGAAAAGAAAAGAAAAGAAAAGAAAAGAAAAGAAAAGAAAAGAGAAAAGCTGAGTGTAGCTGTGCCTCCCTCCCTCAGTAGAGCCACAGCTCACTGAGGACCTCTAGTGCTTTACAACATGTACTTCTCCAGGCCTTTCACAAAGAGTTGAGCGGCTGTATTTGCTAAGTGACATTCAATTTTTCTTAGTACTTGCCTAATGCTTTCTCCCCACACTCTCTTAAAAAAAAAAAAAAAAGAAAAAAGAAAAAAATTAAAAAAATACAGAATCTGAATCCTCAATATAAGGTTAAAAACACTTGCGTGGTGGCACACACTTGTAAATTCCAATTGAAGCAGGACTGTAGAATTCAAGACTAACCAGTGTGACACAAAGTTTAAGTAAGAGCAGTGTGGACTATACAGTCCAAAAATAGGACTATGTTAATAGACAAATACATGTATTTTTAACATCAACAAAAATAAACCTACAGACTAAACAGGCAGAGCCATGAGCCAATTTCAGAGGGAAGATCTCCATCCTGTTGTTCAATGACTCGTGTAAAGACAAATTTAAACAGGGTATTTCACTTTTTGTTTGTTTGTTTTGTGTTGTTTTTGGAGACAGGGTTTCTCTGTGTAACAGCCCTAGCTGTCCCGAAACTAGCTCTTGTAAACCAGGCTGGCCTTAAACTCACAGAGATCTGCCTACCTCTGCTTCCCAAGTGCTGGGATTAAAGGTATGCGCCACCACCACCTGGCCAACAGGATGGGTATTTCTTTATTGGGCCAATTTAGAAATCAAAGACTATTTTATTATTACCAATTTTTAGCAGAAGCATCTGAAAGATTCTCAGACACTTCCGTCTGCTCAACAAAGCTGGAGTGCTGCTGCCATAAAGGAACTTCCAACAGAATTCAGCAGTTTGCAATCTGGCAATCTTACTTTTACTACAGTGAACTTTCATAAACTAACAGGTTGATTGTAAATCTAATGATAATACTGTCCTAATTTAGTTTAACAAGTCAAAAATAAAAAAGGAACAAACCAACTTATGGCTTGTTTGTGAGATGATAATAAGTACCTGGAGGGGAAACACACACACACACACACACATAGAGAGAGAAATACATACATATCTCCAAATAATCTTAAAAAAGATAAACTCTGCTTATTCAAACTCAATCTATACAGAATTCTAATTGTCTAAATTAATCAAATGGGAAAAATACTAAATGGGGCTGCCAGACTGTAGTTTCTTAAAAGTATAATAAACAAGTAGACAAAAACAAGAAGACAGCAAAAGCCCAAAACAAACTTGAGGATTCTCAAGGATGTGACTTTGGCAGAAAGCCTACAATTCAGCAAGTTCTACAAGGCCTTCAAAGTGTTTACAGGAGGGATTACTACACATCATATACAAAGCTGTGAATGTGTCAATTACCTGTAAGTTATAAGACAGGCCACCAAATGATTTCCAAATCTACTGAGGTTTCCTTCTCACAAGAATACACCATAGCATTGAAGTTAAGGATTCCTATAAGATATGATATGTATGACTTCTACCCAAATAAGTTCTTAACAAAGTATATGATCTTTTTTTTTTTTTCCTTGAGATAGTGTCTCACTCACTATCTAGCCCTGGTTGGCCAGGTTAGCCTCACACTCACTGAGCTCCTCCCTACCTCTGCCTCTTCCCTCTGGAGTGCAAGAATTAAAGCATGCACCACCTCTATTGGAAATATGACAAAGGATCATGGTTGCCTGCGGTTTTCCTCTTTCCTCCTTCTAGTGAAAAATAATACTCTTTAGAACATAATTTATTAAGTTCCAATTTTAACTTCTTTAGAGAAAGCAAGAATGTCATACTAGCTCCCACTAAGAAAATCAATCTGTCCAAAAATTAGAACAGGTCCCATATACATAGAACACAACACCAGACACTTTTTTGCTTCTTCCATACAGTTCAAAGATATGATTTGGTAGTTCCCACAACCAAACACACATCTTTCTTATTTTCAGTATTCTGGTACTAAAAGCAGGATGATTAAATTTTAAATAAGTCCGTAAGTGAACAGGCTCCTTGTCCCTAGTAAACACCCAATAAACATATATGGCCTTTTAAAAAAGGATGTGGGAGGCTAATTTTACATCCTAACACAATTTATTCCTGAATATCCTAAAAGATGCTCTAAAAACATCAGCTAATGAACTCTTTTTCTATATTGCCCATCAAGTATTAGTTTATTAGAGTGTTGCTATAAGAAAGTTGAAAAGAGACTATGGAATCTCCAAACTTACAGAGTAGTGATCATGAGGAATAGAAACCTGACCCCTGTGTTACAAACTGCAACATCTGTAGTGAGATACATACAGATCCAAAATTAGGTCTGCAGTGTTCTTAACTCTCAGCTTTCCTATTCTCAACATATAAGAGGAAGCCCCATCATGGAGCAATGTAGCTTAATCATTACCGTATCAAAGCACTATAAAATAAACTGAGAAAAAAAACTAACATGCATACCATGGACATTTCCTCATTTCAATTTTAGCCAAGACTATAAACATGCTACAAATCATTTTGTAATTATGACAAGTTTTCAAGCTTGCCTAGAAACATTTAGTTTTTGATCTGGTCACTCTGTGTCCTTTATAGACAACTCTCTCATTTATTGAACAAAACCTTCAATAAAAAGTGGTGTAAGATGATGTCCTCAGTATATTAATCATGTTTTATTCCATTATAGATTTATTTTTTTGTGTGTGTACATGTGTGTAGGCACCTGTAGAAGCCGGGAGAGGATGTTTCATGCCCACATTATAGGTGGTTAAGAGTGACCTAACCTGAGTGCTGGGGAGCGAACCACATCCTGTGGAAGGGCAGCTAGTGCTCTTCACCATTGTCCCACCTCTCCAGCCCCTGAATGTTTTTAGTAGTTGACAGCACATCTCTTTGTATCTCACAAACACGAAATACCCACTTGAACAAAGCCTAACTCAGTTTAATGTCAAGTTAAACAAGAAACTATCAATTTAGGAAACACCTCCTCTAAGCCATATTTTCTTCATCTATAAATAGAAGAGACTTAAATATTAGTGATGATGAGTTTAATAGAAAATCCTATGACTTAAATTCATTAATATGACCATTACAGCGCTGAATTTTTTAACTACTTTCTAAAAATTTTAGTCATAAAATTCTTATTCAACTTTATGGATTTAATTAAATTATGCTAATTTTATGCACAAAATACAGAATGAACATATGCTTCCTTCACTCATATACTAGAAGCTCTAGTTGGGGACAATGACACATATACTGAAACTATAGCATAACCAGATTTCCTGATTTAGCGATACAAAATTCTATGGAAACGCGGCAAAGCAGATGATTCTGCTTACTGGCTGGAAAGGTCTTATTCAGAAGTAGTGTTTAAACTGAGCTTGAAGGATCAGTTTTGTGTAGCTGAGAATCGAAAGGTAAAAGGGGTAGATGTGGCCTTCCAGGAAGAAACAGAACACGTACAAAAGGCACAATCATGAAAAAGAGTACAGTGTTTATAGCAAGGGGCATTGCATGTGACTGAATCCCCAAGTGTCGGGCAGAATAGAGATGACTCCTGTATATGCTTTCTGATGAACTTCTGGAAGGCTCACTCCTTTCTCGTGTGTGTGTGTGTGTGTGTACATACATGTGCACATGTGTGTGTTGTGACAGTTTTACTTTGTACCTAGGTTGCCCTCAAATTTACAATCCTGTCGTGGCCTCATACATGCTAGAATTATAGGTATGAACCACTTCTTTTAATAACTACTGAAACATTATAAAAATATAGTAATTATCAATACTAATTTTTAATTTGCTCAAAACTATAGTTCATTATACATCTTCCTATAAAAGAACTTGTAAAATATACAGATTCTCCAACACTACAAATTCCTGAGACCTATAATAAACTAACAGAAGCACGTACTACTTGAGGATGCATTTTCTTTAAAAAGTTGCTTTATTCCTGCAGCATTTTATCTGGAGAATTCAAATAAAAGTAATTAAATATGCTAGGCTTGAGATCCTATCTTTTCAATGTGAAATTCTATAGATAATTCAGCCACCTGTGCTAGACAATCAGGAACATATGCTAGACAAACATAAGCTGTTACTAACTCTTGAGAACTCTTGAGATTTTGATATAAATTGACTCTGCGTGGCTCCTTATCACAGGCATACACATGAAAGACAGACACACACCAAATGAAAATCCAGTCTATTACACAATTCAAATCCTAACAGAGCCAAGTTGAAGATCTGAGAACTACAACATCTGACTGGCATATACCACAGAGTTTCTTTACAACATAAGCAGCAAACGCAAATCTTCCCCTTTCCCAATCTCTTTTCTCTTCTCCTCAGTACTAGTCTCAAGTATGGGGTCCATAGACTGAGGTGAGTTCAAGCAGTGCACAGAGCCTAGGGAGGAAATCCAACCTGCCAGCTAGAAATCTGTACTAACATCCTGCTACAAATGATGCAGCAACAGACTAGACACAGTTGTTTCCAGACAGTAAATTATTGCAAGATTAAAAATGTTCTGATAAAAAAAAAAATTAGCCCAGCATAGTAGTACAGGACAGTAATCCCTTCACTTAGTATGCAAAGACAAAAAGAAGCAGAATGGTGGCCTCCAGTTTGAGGTCAGACTGGCTATGTAGTAAATTCTGGGCCAATCAGGATTGCATAGCAACACCCTGTCTCTAAACAATAAATAAACAATAGTTTAATGAAAGAAAAATAATAATGTCAAAGTTTAAGTAGCTGATGTCTTCAGACAGTTCACTTAGTTTATTTTAAATCTGTATCTAATTTCCTATTAATATGCTTCATTTTGTTGTGTTTATTAACTGTCAAAGCTTTAGACCCTACATATTCTACAATGGTTTAGGAACTTTGAAAGATGGCCAAACAAAAGCCCACTCCAGGTAAGCAAGATTAGCTGAAAACTAGAACTGTCCATGGTAGTTTAGTACAATAATCATACTGTGCACTCTGAGCTTGTCAGTCTTTAGTACTCAGAAACATCGTGTTCAAGAGCTGAAAACATTCTAAAAGGGGTTGGATCTGGGAAGAGGAGTCAGGAGGAAGATGTGAATATGATCAAAATACATTGTATGATTCTATAACAGTATAAATCATAAAGGAGAATGGCAAGCAGCTATATCTGTTTTTAATTTCATATTTAACTACTTTCTCAGTGAACTATTTTATTTTGGACTAAAATTAAGATATAATTTATTATATGCTGTTTTATAAGATTGTCCTGAAACACTTATAATAATAAATATTCACATCAATTGTGTTTACAGAGAAGCAGATTTAAAGAAACAACAATATTTCATAAACCTAGTAATACCTGCCAAAAACTACAGTTCCTATAGCTCAAACAAGACAAATGAGACTGCAGTAACATACGAGCTATAGAAGCAGAGAGATCATGAAGACTGGAGACAGTTAATATTATAAAACACAGGGATGAGGGAGATCAATTTATGCAAAACTGTGCATCTCTATCCAGAGAATGGGTTTAGGTATGAACCTAATCCATTTACTATTTTTACATTCCAGGCCTCCTAAAAGAAGACAGCTCACATTTGCCTGCCTACTACCAGCTTTTTATCTTGCTCTTGACCACTCAGAACTTCAGTTTTCCTGCTATTGCCTTCCAGCATCATGGAGAAAGTCCAGTACCTCACTCGCTCTGCTATCAGGAGAGCCTCAACTATTGAAATGCCTCAGCAAGCACGGCAAAATCTCCAGAATCTTTTTATCAATTTCTGTCTCATCTTGATCTGTCTCCTGCTGATCTGCATCATTGTGATGCTTCTATGAAGTACGGCTGCCACCTCCAGATCTGTGACATGCCAGCTCAGCTTCAAACCTAGCACCTCCTCATGGGGGGAAATACAGCCTGCTCCCTGCCTAGAATGCCTTTGTGAAGGTCAAGATGAGGGGTGAAACTAACCCTTAGCCAATGTATTCATCTGGATCTTGTAAACAAACTTTACAGTGACTAAGTGTGCATAATGAAGCTGCCGATTTCCTCAAAATGGCTCATAAATTTCTTTCCTGATTATTTCTGACAATGAAGTATGAGTTTTCATTTTGAAACAGCACTGCCGAAAGTTCACTTTCTCCATCCAGCACTAGCTTTACTGCTAAGAAGCTCACTTTATAGCTCAGTCTTGGGGATAAATGAAATTTATACTGCATTGCCAACACTTTTTTTTTCTACAGGAACTAAGTATTCTTCAGGTCTTCACAAAGTAGAAAAACAATAATTTAAATGAAGTGTTCTTATTCAAAGTAGTTCACTGGTCCTCACATGTATGACTACTGTTATTATTATATTATACAGAAGTCTTGATAATTACTCTGTCAGAATAAATACCTTAAAATAAAGATCTTGTCATTTATCTATACACTAATATTTTAAGCTTATGAGAATCAAATATGAAAAAATCAAATTCTCATATAAATAAAATTCCTTATCATAAATTTTTCTCAAGGATTATGGAATTTACAATTAAGTTAAGCACAAATCTGCTCTCTTCAGGGATTGGTGATCAATAAGAACAAATATCTTACTATGTGGCTGTGATAATTACTAATAAAGCAAAATCTCACCTGAATTTGACACTGACATAGATATCCTTGGTTTTATAGGATTTCTCCTATTCCAATCAGATTTCCAATAACAAGAAAACATATTATTTCAAGCATTATAATTTTTTAAATTCTGAACCCTCTCTCTCCAAACACTTCCATTATACTTAAATGTGAACTTTTATTCTGTATAATCTGTATTAAGATTTAGCTGTCCTCCTCTATTGCCCAGAGAATTAGCATTTGCTTTACTAAGTTTAGTAGAGCTAGCAACACTATAATTCTTACTGAGTATGTTTTCAATATCCCTTTTTAAATTTTTAAATATCTTTCTTTCAATAACTACTAAAAGAATAGGAGCAGAAAACTATGTTGGAAAACATAGTCACCAAAACGTAGTAACTTAAATTGGCAAAATATAAAACTATTTAGACCTCTACTTTGTAATCTCCTAATTTTCAGCCCAATTCAAGATATGCTACCAATACAGCAATTACTAAGAAAGAGAAAATGCAATTAGACACACTTTCCACAAAGACTGTAAGGATATAAAGCATCAATATTCACTTTGGTTTTAGCAGGATGCTGATTCAAACTGAATGCGTGGTAGAAAAGGAGATGTTTGGGTTCAGAAGTTAAAAAGTTGTCAAAAGGAGTCCATGTTATAAAGGAAGGTTGGATAGGGGAGCAGGGAAGCACATATCTTAGTTAAGGGAGCCACCTTAGTGTTGGCAAGAGACTTGAACCTAGAGTGGCTCCCAGGAGCCCAAGGCGATGTCCCCAGTTAGTCCCTTGGGAAGCTGAGGATAGGGAACCTGAAATGACCCTATCCTATAGCAATACTGACGAATATCTTTCATATCACCATAGAACCTTCATCTGGTGATGGATGGAGATAGAGACAGAGACCCACACTGGAGCACTGGACTGAGCTCCCAAGGTCCCAATGAAGAGCAGATGGAGGGAGAACACGAGCAAGGATGTCAGGACCATGGGGGGTGCACCCACCCACTGAGACAGTGGGGCTGATCTATTGGGAGCTCACCAAGGCCAGCTGGACTGTGACTGAAAAAGCATGGGATAAAACTGGACTCTCTGATCATGGCGAACAATAAGGACTGATGAGAAGCCAAGGTCAATGGCAAGGGGTTTTGATCCTACTTCATGATCCGGCTTGGTGGGAGCCTAGCCAGTTTGAATGTTCACCTTCCTAGACATGGACGGAGGGGGGAGGTCCTTGGACTTTCCACAGGGCAGGGAACCATGACTGCTCTTTGGATTGGAGAGGGAGGGGGAGAGGAGTGGGGGAAGGGGGAGAAGAGTGGGGGGAGGGGGAGGGAAATGGGAGGCTGGGAGGAGGCGGAAACTTTTTTTTTCCTATTCTCAATAAAAAAAAAAAAGAAAAAAAAAAGGAGTCCATGTTAACGAGTTCTCTTCAGCAAGGGTTAAAGATTCCTATCACACACACACAAACACACACACACACACAAAGCATTAATGACATAATCATCTAAACCAGGGTTCTCAACCTTCCTAATGCTGTGACCCTTAACATGTTAAAAGTATTAGTTGTCAATACCTTGACTAATCAAACCACTTTATGATTCATATAGAAACAAAATTTCATCTTCCTTTTTAAACAACTGTAGACCAGGGAACATGAAAAATGTAATGTAAGAAACCGAACTCACTACTTAACTACCATGGAGCAGACCCACTGTGAGCGTAAGAGAATCTAATGGTCACTGCACGTAGACGGCCACATTCTCTACATCCCAATTGAAAACAAGGAATGCAGGGGGCACTTAGAAATTATGCATTCTCCCCTGACCAGAGTCAAGACCTTCACACAGTCCTACAGAATCAGTCTGGAGTATTACGGGTGGGGTATCGAAACACAGAGGAAGCAGCCAAGACTAGTGGTGCACAGAATGCACGGAGTTCTATATCCTAAAGCAAATGAAGGCAGATAACATTTCTTCAACCACAAATGAAAATTCTTCAGAATTATTGTCTCTGGGTGGTTTAGCAAGTGGTTCTCAACCTTCCTAATGCTGTGACCCTTTAATACAGTTTCTCATGTTATGGTAACCCACAACCATTAAAATTATTTTCATTGCTACCGCAACGAAATAGGAAGTAATTTTGCTACTGCCATGAATCTTAATGTAAATATGTGTTTTCTGATGGTCTTATGTGTAACATGGAGTTGTTCAAATTCCCTAAGGACTCACGTCCCAGGGGTTGAGAACCACTGCTCTAAAGCATATAGGAATGCTTCCCGTTAGTTGTGCTCTCTCTCCTCTACTGTGTTTTAGGAAGATTCAAAACTGAGTGTTTTTCTCATATGTAAAACATGTGCATCATATCAACACCTTTTTCCAAATCAAGAAATTTACTCATTAGCCTGTTATTCCACAGACTCAAAAGGGACTAATACATAATGTTTCTCTATATGCTGTATTATTATAAAGTGCTTCCTTTAAACTGATTCAACACATCTTGATGGTCAATTCATTTAACAATTGCAGCTGACTTAGAAGCTTAAATACAAAGAAACCATTACCAAAAATGGTACAAATAACTGGGTTCCATCTTCTCATTTTATAGAAGAAATTAAGGCCCAAATAAATTGTCAGGTCACAAGGCACTGGGTTCTGTTTACTGACAGTCATAGCAGCTAGAAATGAGCCCAGCCTAGAAGTCCGTCAATACATGAATGGGTAAGGACATATAGACAATGCAATTGTACTTGGTCATAAAGAAAACTGACATAAAAAAAAAAAGACATCTGCAAAACATGAATGAAACTTGAAATTACTACATCAAGCAAAGTACCCCAGACCCAGAAAGCTGAAAGCCAAATGCCACATGCTTTCTCTCATATTGTAACATCGGTTTCAGTTTCATAGATGTGAGAGAAGCTATGAAACTACAAAGGGCTAAGATGGAGAAAGAACAAAATAGAGGGTAGCAAAATATATGAGACATGAAAGCAAAAAGGGTCTTGTGGGAAGAGGCAGGCAACCAATAGGAGGGAACTGGGCCAGGGGTTAGGGGAGTACAGAATCAAGAAAAACAATGTATGAAAATCCCATAATAAAATCGACATTTTGTATGCAAGTTAAAGAAAAAAAAACTTATAAAGAAAAAATTCAGGTCCTAAATGTGATATAATCAGAAAAAAACCCAAGACTTATTTTTCCAAATCAATTTTCTATTATACCATGTCAGCTTCTGTTTTTGTTTTACATTTCTTTAGACAAAAAGCATTTTATTTTATGCATACTTAACAAATGAGAAAGTCAAGACCAACTTAAGAACAATGTTTACAGTTCTTATGTTAATTTATCTCAAATTTATTTTTCTTTATCAATACAGTATATAAAATTTATAGCACTTATGTTTTTTAACTTGTGAGAGATGGAGAAAGGAACTTGTGGTGTAGGCAGTCACATACTTACTGCAGTAAACTAAAGATCCACTGGAGGGAAGCAAACACTAGGTTTTGAGCCTTACCTGCATTGGTGCTTCACTTCCTTGATGAAACTCTTCTATTGGTGGCTGTTGCCAAGGAGCTAAGCTGTAAGAATCCTCTGTAGTTCTGCCTTCCAATGGATTTGTCCGTAACTGTTCTGTAAGCCACATCTGCGTCCTCACAGAAGGTTGAATGGGAACTCCACCTACTGCCTGCTGGCCAAGCATTGAATACTTTGGAGACTCAAAAGCCTCTGAACCTGTCACAATGGGCTTGCTCTCAGGTAAGGCACTGTAAGTCATGTCTAAGGTCTGTCTCCTGAAAGCAGAGGAGGCGGTTCTGATGTCCTCTTTGTTGTAGCTCTCAAATTTATACTTGCAATCCAGAGTTGATGACCGTGTTTTATTTATTTCCTTGTCTTCCAGCTTAAGCATCTCCATACTGTCATGTAAGCAACTAGGCCCAAAGGTCCTTACATGGTTTGGGAAAGCCTTGCCCTTCCCTGTCTTTTGCAGCTCATTCCTCAACTCATCTGTGTATACAATGCCACTCTGGTTGCAGTTATCCGGGGCAGTAAGTTTGGACAAAGATGACCATTTCCGTAGGGGCCTGAAGTCCTTCATGTCTAGTGAAGAGTCCTGCTCCTGTCTTCTGTGGTCTCCCAGTGTGTGCATGAGGCTTGTACTCCATTTAGAGCCATCTGATGCTAGAGATTCCCTGTGTTTGGAAATTGAAGCACTGGAGTTAGATGGCATCACATGGGCAGTGGGAAGAGTAACCAATGATCGACTAGGTTTAAAAGATAGTGTGCCACTTGACGTTGAGTGATCTGGAATGAGAAAAGATTGCCAAGTCAGTTTCAACTAACAGGTTAAAAACACAAGCTATAATGTAAAATGAAAGATGTCAAAGTAAAAATCTGAATGTGGCTTCCCAGTATTTATTTCTCAGTTTCCTTAAGATGAGGCAATTGCTAGGACTGTTATCCCTCTAAGGTTATCAGAAATAGTCAACATACTTTCAAACACCATCCCTACATCCATTTCTCTCCTCTGTTCCCCATCTGCTCCAGTGATCCCCTCCATAGTCATCTTCTACTGCTGTGCGATAATGATCTTGTACCCTGGGAAGATTTGTTACTTATTTGGTTTAATAAAGCGCTGGTTGGCCAGTAGCCAGGCAGAAAATATAGGTGAGGCGACCAGGCTAGAATTCTGGGAAGAGGAAAAGGTCAGTCTGTAATCGCCACTCAGAGGAAATAAGATGAAAATGCTGCACTGAGAAAAGGTACCAAGCCACGTGGCTAAACACAGATAAGAATTATGGATTAATTTAAGTTGTAAGATTTAGTTAATAAAAAGCCTAAGCTAATAGGCCAATCAGTTTATAATTAATATAAGCCTCTGTGTGTTTCTCTGGGACTGAACCTCTGTGGCACCAGGTGGGACAGAAACTTCCATCTACATTCTACTGCTGTGCCTACATTTGTTTACTCTTCATAAGCAGAGTTTCCTTAGAGTTGCTACAGGGTCCAGGGAAAGGGATAATTTACAGAGCACACACTAACTCTTCATCAGTGCTACCAACTGAAGAAAATGCTTCTCCCTCCCCTAATGGACCACTAACTGGCCACAGATCCTCAGAAAGCAGTGGGGTCTCATGAGACCTCGTCTATAGGGACAGAGCATGGGATGTCCATGGGTCCTTCTTATTTGCCCTATCCCCACATGACACAATGTTCACAGGCCCAATCTTGTTCAGGTCTTGTGCCAGTTATTGCAATTGCTATGAGATCAAGAGTGCAATGGGAATGTTATTCCGAGGAGTGTTCCAATTCACTCCTCAATGAAAGGCTCTTACATTCTTTCCACCCATCTTCTGCAATATTCCCTGATCCTTGAAGTGGGTGATGTAGAACTTCCATTACTGGCTGAGCAGATCCTGTTTCTCAGCAATTCGACCAGTTCTATGTCTCTGCAGTTATTGCTATACACTGCAAACAAAGGGAAACTTCTCTGACCAAAGCTGAAGTAGCACTTTCCTATGGGTACAAACACAACACTTAGAAATTTGATGGACACATCATGTCCACTTAGCAGGAAAATAGCAGTAACTTTCTCTCTAGGGCTTATGACACTCCTAACCAAAGGAATCTGACCAAGTTGGTGCTAGTAAATGTGGAATGGAAAAGGTCTAATCTGTGGTTCCCCCATTACTTACTTGCCACTATTGGATCCATGGGCGCCTTTTGCCTGGCCAGCTAGTAGTGTCGTATGGTGGAATATCAGTTTAAGATGTGTTACATTCATTTATGCTATAAAATACTTGTTTAATGATGCAAAGATGTATTGTATTCTTTTATGTCGCATCTCTAAAGCTGTGTTACCTTGACCGACTAAAACACCTGATTGGCAAAAAAAAAAAAATGTGCTGTACAGTCAATAATTAGGCAGGTGGGGATAGACAGGGCTGCCAGGAAGAGCGAATAAATAGGAGGAGAAATCTAGGCTCGGGAGAAAAAGAAGAGGTGAGAAAAGGAGAAAGAGGAGAGGACGCCAGGGCTAGTCACCCTGACACACAGCCAGCCACAGAGTAAAAGTGAAGTTAAAGAGAAATAGAAAAGCTGGCTAGAAATGAGTCAAGCTAATTTTTGGGAATTCATAAGAAAGAATAAGTCTCCATGTATTCATTTGGGAGCTGGGTGGCAGGCCCCCAAAGAGTAATAAAAGCCAATGTATCACTTGGGGTCTGTATTAAAGGGGACTTTGATGACAACTTTCCCCCACAGCCTGCCTAGCTCCCTCTAGCAGCAGTGAGCTAAGTGGAAGGGGCTTTCAGCCCTGTTCCAGCTCCATTTCTCCACATCCTGAGAGCAAAGCACACAAAGTCTCTTTAGGAACAGTTTCATCAGCGTGGAGAAGTTACAAACAGTGAGTAAATAATCTTTCTGGGGACCTAAGTGGCCTTTTAGAGCAATCATTTGAGCCCACCCCAGTACTAAGACTTTTGTTGAATAACTTACGGTTTCCAGGGGTACCATTATCTGTTACCAGGTTTTTTTCTGCTTGTGCATATACCCAGTAGTTGGCCTAACATCATCACCTCCTCTTCTTCCCCCAACTTCATGTTCTTCTGCTTACACCTTTACCCCTCCCCAGTATTCATTTCCCCTTCCATTTGCATAAGGCATGTATTCTACTATCCACTACCATCCCCTTAATATCACACCCATCTTTTTTCCTTGCCTCTTAAATGTCGCCTTCCTGGATGCTACACACTCTCATGTAATTACAGACAGACCGTCAGATATACGTACGTATGTGAATTAGTAGCTGAGATATATATGACAGAGAATATGCACTGTTTCTCTTTATTACTTTGGTTACTTCACCTAATATATTTTTCAGCCCCACTCATTTTCCTGCAAATTGCACCATTTACCTTTCTCTACAGTTTCATAAAATCCTGTCGTGTATATGCACATTTTCACTCTCCATTCATCTGATGGAGAGGTCTCCACTTCCTTGGGTAGTTTACTCCAAGATCTGGGGATTGATTGATTAGATTATTTTAAGGCTACTGTGAATAATACTATTTTCCTGAATTCTTGATATGTTTATCATTGATAAACAGAAAGGGTATTCATTGTGCATGTTAATTTTGTATCTTTCTACTTTACTGGGTAGGTTCCCAGCTCTAGGTTTCCTGAATTTTAAGGTTTTGTATGTATAGAGACATATATAGTCCTTTCCTATCTGTACCCCTTTAATTTCCTCTGCTTGTCTTGTTGCCCAAGCACAACACTGAAGAAGAGTGAGTAGAGTGAGCACTCCTGTCTTGCTTCTAATCTTAGTGGGACTGCTTCAAGTTTTTGGCTATTTACCATGTTATGGGAGGTTTGCATATAGGCTTTGTATTCTTGTGGTTAATTTCGCTACGAACTGGTCAATTAATAGATTCTTTTTAATATTTTTAGTCTATCTCATTAATTTCTATACTTCTTTCCATATTCTGCTTTTGGTTTTGTTTTTCCAAGGCTTTAAGCTACATCTTTAAGTTACTTATTTGAGCTCTCTGATTTTGGAGTGAAGGCACTCAGAGCTACGAATTTCCCACTTAGCACTGCTTTCATTGTATCCTACTGTATCTGGTATTCATACAACTACAATGCTCCTTTATTTTTGGTCTGGATGTCCTGCTTTGGTGACAGTGAAATATTACAGTCACCCGCTATTTATCAAACACGACTTTCTACATATACTTAAATTATTAAGTGTATCGTAGAAGGAGGAACTGCGGGCTGCTTTCTGCTTGGCTCCCACACGGCTAGCTTTATACCCGAAATAACAACACACAAACGGTATTCTTTTAAACACTGCTTGGCCCATTAGCTCTAGCCTTTTACTGGCTAACTCTCACATCTTGATTAACCCATTTCTAATAATCTGTGTAGCACCACGATGTGGCGGCTTACCGGGAAGGATCTTAACCTGCATCCATCTTGGAGAGAAGAGCTATAAGCGTCTGCTTGACTCAGCTTTCTTTCTTGCAGAATTCTGTTCTGTCTTCCCTGCCTACCTATGTTCTGACCTATTAGGCCAAGCTGTTTCTTTATTAATTGACCAATGAAAGCAACAGAAAGACAGATGACCCACCTACATTGCATGAAAGGATGAAAGTTATTTTTAATAATACTCATATTAATCTCTAGTTTGGGGTCCCATTCCACACTCAGGTCCCATTCCAAACCCTACCCTTCATGCCAAGCAGCAGCCCCTATCCTGGAGTAGCCCTCTTCAAACTCTGCCCCTGAGAAAGTCTGCCAAAAGTTAGCCCCTCCTTGGGGCTCCTCAAGATCACACCTATAGGCTACTGTTAGCCATACTTGCCACGTGATACCTCTCCAACCCTCCTAAGAGGGTTTGATTGGCTTATTACATGAGTGGCAGCAGATATTCAATAACCGGGAATTCAAACTTTATCAATAATCACCAGTCTTGGCTGCTGTCTGGGGGCTAACAATGTGCTACTTTCCTATTTGCCTTCAGTCATCTGGGATTTTTCAATTGCAAAGAAGATCAATAATTGGTGATAAAAGCCACTTCATCAGATTACTTTTTTAAAATGTCTTTTGTCTGTTTAAGACAGTGTTTCATGGAGCCCAGGATAGCACTGTTGTAGCTATGTAAACAAGGATGATCTTGAACTTCTGATCCTCCTACCTTTATCTCTCAAGTGCTGGGTTCACAGGTGCATTTATTAGTATAAATCTGAATACTACCAACAGATAGTGTTTCTAGAATATGATCTTAAGGACAGAAGTTACTCCTAGAAGTTCCTTATTAGAAATTCTCAAAACTTAGCATGTAAAAAAGTTACCTGGAATATGCTACCCTACACTAGTAGAATATGACCAGCCCTGGTAGAGAGGCTCCTCAGAAATACCACTTTTAAACAAGCACTCTATTGCTCAATTCATGAAAATACCCATCACCTAGGTGTGACTCCAGTTCTGAAGCTTCCAAGCTCACCTGTTAGGATTCAGGCATTATGCTGGCCCCTGTTAGCTGGCAGGATGCACTCAGGCAGTACCCTGGCCAGCCCAGGGTGCTAAATCACTACCTAGTCTGTATGCAGGGGCAAAGGGTCCCTTTAAGAGACAAGCTTGGCCCCTTCCCCACTATCTTCCTGCTGTTCCCCTAAAAAGGCAAACAGATCTTCCCCTGTCCCCCGTCTGTCTCTCCTAATTCTTTCCCCTTCCCTCAATTAATTCATCACTCAAGCTTTGCCTACATGGTGTATTTGTACTCGCCTGACATAAGGCCACCA